TTCGGGCCTACGAAGACTCGCTCGGCCAGGACTAATCTGTCATCAGTGTCCCTAGGTCCTGTCAACTTAATCCGATTAGTGAGTCAGACGAGTGGTCAAAGGGGCCGCTAGTTATTGCCTGCCCCTCTCTCTTTTGGTGCTCGGCCAGGGCAAAGTGATTTTAATCCGGTTAATTTATAACGTTCCTGGCGAGACAGCAGTGGCTGGTACAACAAGGACAGCGGTAATAAATTCAGCAACAACCACTTGAGTCTTGAGTAACGATCATTTGGATGAATTTCGTAAAATCAAGTGCTTTTTAGTGTCTAAGAGGACATTTCAGTGTATATTTCAGATAAGTAAAACTTTACAATTTATTATCGACTATCTTATGTTGGATAAATTAAGCAATTTTTGGATCTTATAAGTCATAATTTCAGTTCTAGCGCCCTTGATATGACCGATCCAATTCCATCTTCTACGCCTATTCAGTTTCTTTTCATCTTCTTTATTGATTTTCCAGGTTTCACAACCATATAGTAAAATAGGTTGTTAGTCCTTCTTCAAATTCCTCTTACTGTCCAAATTCTCTTTAGTCTTCTAAATGTACCACGGGCTTTCTGTAGGCGGTTATCGATGTCTCTGTTCCCTCTTCCTTCTTTGTCCATTGTGGCCCCCCTAGATATATAAACTCTCCAACATCTTCGAACTCTTCTCCGTTCAGTAATACTTTCTCATTTCTTTTTGCACCTTTCGTTCTCAATGTCTTACATACATTTCTTTGCATTTAACTTTAGACCAACTCTTTGCGCTTCCTCTACTAGATACGCTGTTTAGTGTTAAGGTCGTTAAATCTTGAAGACAGTGGTACTATATCGTTTGCAAAGTTAAGGTCTTCTAGAACAGTTGTAAAGTTCCATCTTAATCCCATTCTCCTTTCACTCGTCACTTTCCTCATAATCCAGTCAATAATTAATAAAAATAGAAATCCAGACATGACACATCCTTGCTTAACGCCTGTGTTGATCTTGAACCATTGTGAGGTTTCTCCTCCATCAATTACAGCGCATTCAAAACCATTATATATTCTTTTTATTACTCTGACAAACTTGTCTGATATCCCGTACCCTTCCATAAGTATTCCTTAAAAAACTCATACATAATTAATGAGCTACTAGGCTAATAGAATAAGCCTATTTGGTCACATGCATGGATCTTTATATCTGATAAAACACTCCTTATTAGTATTCTTTATATAAAGAATACTAATAATGGTGACCTTTATCGGATATAAAGGTCCATGACCCTAGCAAAGGTCTCAGGTTTGAAACCTGATCATTGACCAATGCAGGATGTCAACTGATTTCAGCCAAGAGCGGTTCTATTTCACTTTATGCGTATCCAATGTGTGATGACAAGAGTGCACTGTACATTGATTCGCGCGTGATCAGTTTACTCCATTTATCTCAAATTTTATTTTTATGGCAATTTCTCCAAGAATTTTAACGGTTTTGAGTTTCAAACTAATGTTGGAGTTTTTTAAGCCGTTTAAAACACGAGAGAGAGAGGGTGTTTTAACAAGTATAAAGATTCTCGCCTTCGTGTTTTAAACTATACAGAAACTGTCCCTGTGTACTGAATCGACAGCTTTTTCAAAGTCAATGAAATGCGTATACACAGCAGCTCTTCACTCGTTAGCATGTTCCAGGATATTTCTTAGTATGAAAATCTGTTCTGTAGAACTTCTCTTTGGTCTAAAACCAGCCTGCTCTTTCCTTAGCCTCTTGTCAACGCCTGTCTTTATGCGATCCATTAACATTCTACAAAAGACTTTGCTTATAACAGTAGGTAATAACGTCACTCCTCTCCAGTTGTTACAATCACAAAGATTCCTTTTTTTTTTGAATATTTTAACTATTAG